ATACTTCTGACCTGAAAGTATCGTACGGTAATATCAGATGAGGTTATAAGAAGCAATTTAGTTTTTGAGACCAAAAATGCAATATTTGTGAAGTATTGATTTTGCAGGGAATACATATTTTATTAAACTGAAATTTTATGCTAAAAAGAAAGGGGAAAAATACAAAAGTTCCTAGAGAATAAATATTTTTAACATTAGACTGTATAATAATTAGCAACTTTTAGAACTTGCAAAAGCCAACAGCAGAGCCACATAAATATTCATAGCAGTAAAGTAGATTTTCTTCTGTGGGTAATGCAAACAAAACAGCTAACATAAAGATGCATACATAATATACAATCCTTGATAAATTCTAAATTAAGTTCATTATTTTAGTAACTATACTAATGCATAACAGTAGCTTAAAAAAAAAAAAAAAAAAAAAAAAAAAAACCCTACAACTTGCAGCTTAATTCTTGACACTGGTTCAATGAATAGAATTTGAACAACTAAAAACTTATTTTACAAAAACAAAATCTAAATAAAAATCTAATTCCATTGTACATAACAACAACAATTCATAATTTATTTTCTTGATTAACCATCAGCACATTTCCACATGTAGATGATGAAGCAGGGTGAGTTTTTACAAGAATGAGTATGAAAATATGTCAATAACAGATCATTTAAGGATTATTAAGTAGGAACAACTTTATACAAACATTTACAATATTGCACAACAATAACACAAAAACTCCCTGAACAATATCAAAAACTATTCTACTTATGAAACTGTTTAACAGCAAGATCAATCATTATGCAAAATATTTTTATGCACACATGCAAACTAATATGGATATTTTTTTTCACATTGGATGATTAGGAGTAATACTATATTGCTGGTAATATGATATATTCTTTGGCTCACTTGATTAAGCATTACCATTTAATAATGAAAAAGACTAATAGCAATCATATACCATTAAATTTGGTTGCACCGTGAAGTTAAATTATCACTTAATTGCATTTCAGTTTATAAAGCTTGCGTTTGTTCAGAAATTTAACAGCTATATCTATATTTAAAATTTTGCATAAATTCTGTTTAGCTGCAAGAACATTCATTCACTTTTAGCAAATGTATAAAATCTCAAAGTGCTTAAGTGCACATATTTAACAATTTAAAAAACATTTGTATATATATATCTACAATTTTTAAATATGCACATTTAATTGTTCCCAAATATTTTTCAATGAAGTTATACTTTGTACTTTTATTTAGTAGCAAGAGTTTTATGCAACAACAACTCGTAAAATTTATTCTACTGATAACTTAAAATAAAAAGGAGGCAACAACTGGCAAAATTCAATCTTCATCCAGTAACATTTTAGTTTAAAATGTAGTTTAGTTTAGTTTAAAACAGCAAAATGATGCGTCAAATAGACTGCAATAGATTCCCCCCCCCCATGAACAGATAGGATAATTTTTGTTTCTGAAAAAAAAAAAAAAATATATTGAAATTAAATATCTCTTAAAAATTGACTTTTGCCAGTATTTGGAAAAAGGCCAAAAATATTAAAATCAATTTAATGATGCAAAACAATTAATAATAAGTAAAATTCTTATTTAAAATAATAATGAAGTAAATAAAGTCCAAACATAATTATTCATACTGAAAGGTAATTTTGTACACAATTTTTTTTTCCACTTATTGTTAATACATTTTACTTGAAAAACAATTTTATACTTTAAAAATTTATATACCTACTTGTTTATATTTGCACACATTCTATTTCAAACAACTTATTGATTTTAAATTTACAATTTCAATGCCTATAAGAAGTGTTGCTTATGAACATGGAAAAAGTCATATTTCACTGAGAGAGAGAGAGAAAAAAAAAAAAAAAAAACATGCTTTTGCAGCATGAGATCTTTCATTAGCCTTTCAATATTATAACAATATAGTTTTTATCAGATACAACAAACAGCTATTTATAAGAAGAAAACACGTCTGAATAACATTTTCACATTTCTTAGTGACAGGAAAATTATTAATAAAATACTTGCTATTTGAAGTGTAGCTTCTATGCAGTAACATTACTCTTATTTGTAAATAGAATGTTGACTTTTTATAAAAAGTTAATTTAAAATTCATTTAATAATAGTAATCATACAAATGATACTTATGTCAATGCTTATAAGTTAATCAATTAAGATCAAATCTGTAAGCTCTAAATTAACTACATCAATAAATTCATAAGATGCAGACAAAAAATTATCAAATAAAAGTTTTCAAATCCTAAAAGAAAGGAAAAACTTATTTCTTTTACAAGAAAACAAAAATAAGTCTATTAAACAGACTAACTTTTTAAACAAGCAAGAATCGAATTTACTTCATAAGATCACTATTATGTAGTTAAACATTCAAGAATTTATCAGCCAAATACAAATAGTATTTTTGCAGAATAAAACTCCAAATATCCAATTTGACTGGAACCACAGCTCAACTAATTTGTTTCTAATGTAGTAAGAAAATTCCATTTTTTTCACCACAGCTCAACTAATTTGCTTTTTGTATTCCATTTCAGTACAGATTATGCAAATTTTTATTTCTATTAAACAAAATACACACACTTTCTCCCAGCAAAATTAAGTAATATATATATTTTTAAAAATTGTCACCATGTAAAATTTATTTCTATTTCATCTAACATGGTATGTATGTGATTATGGCAAAGCCTCGAGGGCGGGATGCCTTCATGGAGGACTTTCTAAGGGAAACTGGCTCGTATACACGTTACACATGGGGAAAACCATGAAAACGCCCATGCAGCCAACCCGTTCGCGGGATTCGAACCGAACTACCAGTGTTCAGCGACTTTACCGCTCGGCCGCTGGTGGGCTTCATCTAACATGAATCAATAAAAATAATTGTTTATACACAAAGTAAACCTAAATTAAATATACACAATTGTTTTTTTCGCAAAGAAGCACAAAGAAATTATTTTTTATTTCTTTAAAATAAAATGCATAACTTAGTTCTATTAAAATTAAATATACACAATTTTGTTTTGGCAAAGAAGCATAAAGAAATTATTTTTTATTTCTTTAAAATAAAATGCATAAGTTAGTTCTATTAAAATTTGTCTAATATATTGCTCTGCCTACTGAGGAATGTTTAATTCAAATATCTGATGTTTAGGTAATTTGAATTCTACTGTATTACTTTTCTTAATTGAAACTTATCTTCAATTGATTGAAAATATTTTAAATATTGTTATGTTGTTGTTGAATAAAAATATTTTAAAAGCTAGAAATTGGATAAAATAAACCTTATACGTTTCATCAGCCAGTTCATGTTTAATACAAAGTATGAATTTGCAGGGCATGTCTACGCTTTGCAAAGACTGAAATTAACATATGCATATAATTAATATGCTTCCCTTGTATTAATCTCATGAAAGATGCTATATTATATTATCCAAGTAGCAATTTAATGTTAACTTTAAAATAATTCAAATCAGCTTTTAAAATTTTATAATTTTAAGTAACAAAAGATATTTAATATGCATATGTAAACATAGACAGTTCTGAAGGGGGGGGGAACCTTCGGCTTTTTTAAAATATATATATTGCTGATTATTCTGTACCATAATATGTACATAGTACAATAGTTCAAGTAAGTATACATCTGGTTAAAATATAAATTTTAGATACATAATGAGGCTTTTCAGAAAGCATGTAGGTTTAAATTATTACTGGAGATTTTCTCTTCGTAAATAATAATAATAAAGTACACCATTCCTTCATGTGTAAAATCCAAATTTCTTAATTCACTAATACATACTAATTTACATATTAAAATAATTTTATACCTCAATCAATACCGAGAAATGAACAGCATATATGCTAATGATCACACATCATCAGTTTTATTTGTTTATTTGTATCAGTTTATTTGTACTGAAGCTAACAAAAGAATTTCACTTCTCCTTCATATTTATTAAAATTCAATAGTAAACGAAAATAATAAAATGCAGTAAACAACGATTCTAGGTAACAGTTGCTCGCTCAAGTACAGAAAAGTATTACATTTGTGGAAAGTTACATTCTTGTACCTCTTCTTAATCAACTTCATTGACTTTAAAATAATCCACCTAAAATGTGAATAAATAATGCACGCTCTCACAATTACCTTTTTGGTGTATATTCCTATTTTTTCTTTTTAACTGTATTCCTGAGGTCTGGATTTTAAATTACCAAATTAAGAATTTTCAGTAAAATGAGGAATTTATCCAAATTTCAACATGGAATAAATACCTACTAAACACAGATGAAGCTAAAGGCTTTAGTGAAAGATTAATTCATGTCATCCTCTTACAATGGTTATAGTGAAATTATTAACCTATCATGATCTCAGAGTGGAAAGAGAATGATCTCTAAAGATTTTCCCAGAGAAAAGATATGAACGGAAATGAAAGGTGAACTACTTATGAACAAAGATTATGGCACTGAAGAAAACAGACAGCATGGGGAGTACAATAATGTGACCACACTCTATTTCATACATAATGACTCAAAATGTGACCAGCTCCAAAGCTTGGAAATAAAAATTAACATAGTTATTTAAAGAACTGCCCTAAAGAAAGAAAAATGGTTAATGAGAAGTATTAACAAATTTAAAATCATTTTAACATGCTATGCTTGAAAAAAATAGAAATTTATGATATAAATATTCAACATATTCATAAAATAAATCATATATTATAAATATTAAGCATATTCACAAAAATGTAACTGTGAAAATAATAGCATTGAAAAATTAAATAAATCTTTGTAAAAAGAGATATATCTATTAAAAAGTACATGATAAATACATTAGTAAAATGAATAAGAATTTTTTATGCAATAAAATATTTTGAACCCCAAAATTTTACTTTTTAAATTAGAAATTGAGAATGAAATGAAAACAGAAATGGTACTCATTGTAAAATTTTAAAAATCAAATGAACTTAACCCTACTTTATTCATAAATGAAAAATAATTTTGAAAAGTTTTACTAGAAAGTTTTTCTTATTAAATATATTAATGTAAAATGTTCTCAAAATATTTCCTAAAATACCATTAAAATGCAAAACATTCCCTGCTGTGATTTTGGAAACGAAGTTCATATCTTAATAATTATTTTAGACTTTTTCCTGTAATAAGCATAAAATTATATTAACTTGTGATTTGAGAGCAAACCATTACTGTTAAATTCCATATATTACTAAATACATTTATGGGTCTTAAATTATGTATCACAGTGCCCAAACAAATATCTATAATGCATTTTTAATACATAATACTATTATCATAAGGAAAAAAATAAATTCATGCATATTGCAAATTAAGCAAAACATCACAATAGAAGTTTTGCAAAACTGCTATGTACACTGGGGAACAATTTGTAACACAATTTCTGTTGAGTTTGATTTTTGACCTGTTTTAGAGTTAAATAGGCATGTTGATTTCAAAACTGTAGTTAGTTTTCTTCTACCATGTCAAGTTTTTACTTTACACATTATGTGAATGTGACCACTCTCTGTAGTATTGGGCATGGATCATAAGATCATCCCTCTTATATTATTATATATTGCAACAAATCAGAGACTCTCTTTATGTCTTCATATTCTTAACACAAACTGAAAGGCTTATTGGGACTGTACCAAATAAATTTCCATTGTAGAGGAGGGCAAACTTAAAGCTCTGCAATTCTGGTGAATATCAAATTGACACCAACTGTGAAGATTTTGAAATTTAAAATGATTCCTTTGACAAAGGATTTGACCGGTACGAGATTTGGAAGTGTCCATGAAAAGCTTCAGATCTGTTAGCATAAAAACTGCATGAGAAAATCGTGTTTGAAAAAGGAGCAAAGGTATTCTACTTTCTGTCAAGAGAAAGTGCGTTTCTACAGTACTTTCAAAGTGATTATAGATTTGTGTGCTGCCATAACATACATGGTTTATCATTGATAGCTCAAAGCAGAGCTTTAAGTGTGCCCTCCTTCACAATGGAAATTTATTTGGTACAATCCCAATAGGCCTTTCAGTTTGCATGAAGAATATGAAGACATAAAGAGAGTCACTGATTTGTTGCAATACATTGACATTAAAATGGTCTGCTTCCCCCTTGGTTAGCAAGGCAGATATAACAATTATCCCTGCTTTATGTAGGACAGTAGAGCTCATGAGAAGCATTGGGTGCTTCCGAGATCTGACCTGAAACCTGGTAATCCAAACATTCTACATCAGTCACTTGTTGACAGAAAGAATATTATATTTCCACCTCTGCATATAGGTATCATGAACCAGTTTGTTAAAAGCTTTGCCAATTGAAGGAGAATGTTTCAAGTATCTCATTTCAGCATTTCATAGCCTGTCATTTGAAAAGATAAAGGCCCGTGTGTTTGATGGTCCATAGATTCAGCTGTTCCTTAAAGATGAACATTTCATCAGAAAGCAGAATTTTAAAAGAATTCTTGGCTGGCATTCAAAAACATTGCCAAAGACTTCCTTGGAAGTACATGAACACAGAATTACAGTTAAATTGTCCAGCAACTTCTGAAGAGCTTCAAACTGCTTGACTGCAACATGAGCATCAAATTGCATAACCATCTTGATAACTTCCTGAAAAACACTGATGTGATCAGTGACCAGCAGGGTGAGTGATTTCACTAAGATTTGAAGGTCGTGGAGGTGTGGTATGGTGGTAGATGGGATGTACATATGATGGCCATCAAACGAAAATGTTGTAACATATACAATTGTTGGAGCATCAAGCGAAAATATCCACAGATTAAACACTCCAGAAAAAGCCATAAGCAAATATTTTTACTTTAGTATGCATGTTTACTGTCTGGTAAAAAAAAAATGTACTATTTGTATGAACAAAATTTAACTTGCTGTAACTATATATAGCCTTTCTATGAATAAAACTATTGTTTACCAACAATAAATTTGGTAAATTTTCCCTTTATATCCATATTTTGTATGACAAAGACAGGGTATTTTGTAGCTTAAAAAGTTGACATGATAGACAAAAACTGAGGTTATTTTTGGATTCAGAAGCCAAAGCTAGTCAAAAACAAGTGAAAAATCTAAGAAACGAAATTGTTGTTCCCCAATGTTATTATTTCTTAAACCAGAGAAAAATATTCAGGTGTTAAATATTATTAGCTGAAATATATACTATTAAGTCTTGTGATACTAAGCAAAGTATTGAAATGCATATTATTAAGTTCTTGTGATCCTAAGCAAAGTATTGAAATGTATATTAATCTTTTATTTCCTTTTCAGCTTGTTTTGAAGCAATCAATCAAAATAATCAATAACAGCCTTTCTTTTTTTTTATTCATTCACATCTCAATCCAACACAAGAACATCTCAAAGTAATCCTGCATGGTTTAGCCACACTAATTTTTTTATGATAATGAAAAGTAAATATCTATGCAGTGTATTATATATAACTCATATGAAAATAAATTACTTTCACTCAATTTTCATTTCATAAAAACATAAATAATAATAAAGGATGCCCAATGTCAGCAAAAATAAAAACATAACTCATTTTCATGTGAATAAAATACTTTTAGTTTCTACAAATCCTAGTAAATGAACTCATATATCCAAGATAAATAGTGTAACATAAACAATACTTGTGTCATTCAAAAAGATGAAATGGAAACTGAAAGTCATTTTTACATATTTTAACAACTTATTAGACAGCAGTTGTTCTAAGGTAAAGAAACATCTTTGATTTGTTCACAGAATAGGAAGCCATGTATAACATTACAAGGTATTTGAGCACATGAACATTTAAATATTTTTCAAGAAAACATTAAAAACATCGCAGTTGAAGGACTGCTTGCACAAAAGAATTTTGTTCCCTTCAACTGGTAACACTATTTACTTGAGCTTCAATTTCTTTTTGTCTCTGTGTCTCTTGAAGTTTCCAATATTCATAATTTACTTTTATGTGCTCTATTAGTTCTGGAACATCACAAAATGCTGTGGAAATAAATAAAACATTAAATTTATTCAATATAACATTTGTGCACAAATCTTTTATGAGTGGAATAACAATTCCAATAACAAATAAAGAAAATAATTCTTAAGTGTTAAAGAATTCTTCTAATCAGTATAATGTTTTATGATTTCTTACAGTGGCAATTCAAAGCAAGTTTTCAAAATATGACATGTCACAAACTGAGTTGAAAGATGACATAAAAGCCGCCATCACTACTACTCATGATAATATATCACGTTTTAACAAAAGTTTTCTGCCACCGTAAATACTGTCTGAGTGAACAGTTTATGTTGCCATGTTTAATCATATTTTCTCAAATGATTTTTGACATTTGAAAGAAAGAGAATTGCTTTAGAATATTGTGTTGTGAAATCTGTAAAAAAATACTGTTATCATTAAGTGCAAGGTGTCTGAAGTAGAACTATCACGCTATCAGATTAGAACCATCATTTATTTCCAGTTCTGTTGCAAAAAGTCAGCTATAGAATGTTAAGAAATTATGTATACAGCTTTAAGTACTTATGTTGTATCATATCACAGTGTGAAGGTTTGGTACCAAAAGTTAAAACAAGGACTATGACATTCAAGAAGCAGAGTGTTCTGGTCAGTCTACTGGTGTTGATGAGGGCCGCCTGAAGAAGATCAACTGGAGAGCTTGCTAAGGAGTTAGACAATAGTGTCAAGTCCATTAGTCATGCTATGCATTGCATAAACTTGATGTACAAGTTCAATCACTTGGTGCTGCATGAGCTGACTCAAGCAGATAAGGACAGAGGTGTTCGAGCCTGCACTAATCTGCTCGAATATCAACACAAGGACAAAATTCTGGGCCGAATCGTAACTTGTGATGAAAAGTGAACTTACTTCAACAACATAGACAGAAAAGGGGGTTGGTCTGCACCCGGTGAGTCCATCGGCAGCATCGCAAAGTGCAGTTTGACTAACAAAAAGATCATGTTTTGTATTTAGTGGGATTGCTTTGCTTTATCCACAAAAAGTATCTGGGAAAAGGTAAAACCCTCAACAGTAAGGTGTGCAGTGTGATATGCTAGTCCATGTTAATGCTGCTATCAAGGAAAAGTGTCAAACTGAATTCTGGCGCAAAAAGGTAATGTTCCATCAAGATAATGCAAGATCACATTCACTGGCTGGACTCTATATGAACTCAAATGGGATCTTTTACTGCACCCACCGTATAGCCCTGACATAGTTATTTCAGACGTCTACCTTTTTTTCACACCTGCAGCTACATCTTGCTAGTGCTACCTTCCATTCTGCACAGGACATTTGAAATGAGGTAGATCTGTTTTTGAACTTGTGGGCACCAAGTTTTTATGTCAAATGCTTTTTGAAAAACCACCAAAACTTTTTCAGGAAATCATACATTTGAGTGATGATTACTACCTGCACTAAAGATAGCAAGTTTTTCATGTTTTTATTCCTAACTTCATTAAGAACGTTGTTCGGCAGAAACCTTTTGTTACAACCAGATATTACAATGAGTAATGGATGCTTCCAAAACCGCTCAGAAAATATATAGTACAGATGGCCATCTTTTAACAGGGTGATATTCAAATACCAACTACTAAGTGACATACTTGTTGCAAGTATTTGAGAAAAAGAATAATAAATGAGAAGCAGATGTTCACTAATCGTATAATCTCGCAAACTATCAGCATTACCACATTCCATATAAATGCTGAAACAATTTCATCAGACATACAATGGTACTTCTGGATATGAGCTGTCATTCGAGCACATCTGAATTTATTTGCATTTATCTGGATATGAGGCCAAGTGAGAGGTTTGCTGCACCACCATTTGTTGGCACAGTAAACAAAGCATGGTGTTTCCTGTGATTACTTTGGCCTAAATGCATCTTTATAATACTTTGTGCTTTCTTGCATTCTTCATATGTGACAATCCGGTCCAGAATTTTGTCCTTGCATTGATATTTGAGCAGATTAGTGCAAGCTCGAACACATCTGTCCTTATCTGCTTGAGTCAGCTCATATAGCACACAGCGGCCAAACTTGTAAGTCAAGTTTATGTGATGCATAGCATGATTAATGGACATGTCACTAATGTTTCACTCCTTAGCAAGCTCTCGAGTGGTTGCATACTGATCTTCTTCCAGAAGTTCTTGCAGGTGGGCCTCATAAGCATCAATAGGCCGGCCAGAATGCTCTGCTTCTTGAATGTTATAGTCCTTGTTTTTGAACTTTTGGTACCAAACACCTTTACAGTGTCACACAATACAACATTAGTACCTAAAGCTATACACATGATTTGGTGATATTTGTAGCTGACTTTGTGCAACAGAACTGGAAGTAAATGTTGGTTCTAATCTGGTAGCATGAAAGTTCCATTTCAGATTCCTTGTACTTAATGATAATGATCTTTTTTTTACAAATTTCACAACACAGTCTCTTTCAAATGAAAAAAAAAAAAAATATGATTAAACATGCCACCGTGAACTGTTCATGCAGACAATATTTGCAGTGGTGGGAAACTTTTGTTAGAACCTGATATTTAAGGCAAGTTATGGATGGCTTGAAATGTTTAAAGCTGGAATTCAGTTCATTGTCAGCAAGCTCAGACATAAAGGCAGAGGAGGAGTTCCTTGAAATGTTTGAGATACTGATAGAAGCCTAGATACATTTCTCAGCAAATCTTCAGTTATGACAGGGTTCTTCTAAAAAGCTTATATAATAGAAAAGACAAAGATGCCAGGCCAAAAATCTGTGAAAGGTAGACTGAGCCTGTCATTGAATGGTGACTTCAGTATAGCCCCTGCTTGTATAAACTTCAGGAAACCTCAGAGTATTTCAGACCCACATAATTATGAAAGAAAACTGCAGAAAAGGCTTTGTGGAGAGCATACCCAAAGGCATAGGTAGCCAGGCAGTTCTTTGTAGGGTAGCTCAACCTGGTCTTTAGTTCTGCTGTTAAATAGCATAAGTACTTCTCATGCTGGACAATACCCACCAAATCTCAATGAATTCAAGTTTCTCTACCTTTCCCTCAGACCATCTCTATCCCATAGCTGATGGACCAGTAGGTGACTTCAAATTTTAAAAAGCTCTTCACCAAACTCCTGCTGTGATGTGACTGAGTGCACCAATCTCACCATTTGTAAGTTCTGGGAAAACCTTAATAACATTACAATAGGCCTAAGAATTATTGATATGGCATGGCAGGGTGTTTCAAGGAGAACCTTAAATTCTGCATGGAAGAAGAAGATATAAACAAAGGATCACTTTAAAAAAAAAAAAAAAACTTACAATGGAAGTTAAATAACTACAGATCAATTGCATAAAGTTTTGGAAGAAATTAGTAATGAGGAAGAGGTAGGCATAGAATAGTCTATCTCTTCAGCTGAAATTAAAGATTTTTCAGGAAAGTAAGAGTCAATAGTCAAGTTTACTGAAGAGGGGGGGAACTGCAACATGGTGCACAACAGCAGTGTTCAGTGATAGTTGTTAAATGCATTTCAGAAACTCTTCTAAATGAAAAATGAAACAAACTTCTTGAACACTACTGAATCTTACCAAAAGTTACGAACGAACTTCTTGAGTCTATTGAAATGCATTTTAGATGAAAGTGAGGAAATAGTAGAGAAAAATGTAGCAAAAACCAGTAAAGAATAAAGTTTTTATTAGTTTTCTATACAATACAACACATTTTCAATGTTTTAAAAGCATTTAGCAAGAGTTTTGAGGTGGTTATTTGGAGGGCTCTTATGGATTAATGGCAATTAAATGTATTTCAATGGAAAAAATTGTTTCAGGATACGAGTAAATTGGCTCATAAGCACAGTCTTAGAATGAATTAAATTTGTAAGCTGAAGTACCACTGTATATGCTTTTAAAAGCTCTGCAGTTGCAAATAATTCCATACCCTAAAGCAGCTATAAATATTTAAAAAATAATTCATAGATATATTTGAGATTAATTGTGTTAAAACTAGAAAATTACACAAAGAATATATTCAACATTTACAGTTACTGTTGCTGGAAGTTGCAAGGTTACTAGATACAAAAATGAATATTAAGGGCAACTGTGCTCCTTATCCATTTTTGCATCTGGTAACCTCCCTTATATATCCTGAAATTATTTGAAAAGGGAGACTACTTCATAAAACATGAAATTCAATATATATAGTGTTACAAAATGCCCAGTTGTGGTAAGCGGGGTTCGGGTTGACAGATTTGGCAACATGACATAGATGAAGTGAGAACATTCTAGTATGAATTCTTACCAATTTTCCCAAGAACTTTTCCAAAGGGGAAGTCAAAAGTTTTAGATACCCTGCCTGTATGCGGAGTAGAGTAGTGTGTTGAGTTCAATAGTAGTGTCTTGAGTTCAGAGATTAGCTCAAGAGCGATCGACCAAGTCGGAAGCTATACTTTAGTGCTTTGCCATGAAGCTGTCTTCACCATTGTAGCCTGATAACTTGAAGGCTGTTATCGTGAGCAAACATTCTTAGTTTTCCCACCTGACTGCAACAGGCTCTGACATAGAATGTACACTCAACATCTACAAACTTAAATACTATTCCAGATTTTTGAAAGTATTTTATAGAATTCTATTCACAGTTATATTTGCAAATTATATGTAACCACAATAACATAAAATTTCACTTATCTGTACATCGAGAATAAGCCCAGCATATTTTTTCTAAAGAAAACTTTTGTAATTTAAATACCACAAACTTAAACATAGAAGTCCTCATTTTCTAAAACTCTGTAACTTGAGAAATCACCCTAATATCTGCAGTGGATTTCATTTCATCCAAACTAGAGCTCAATTTCTTTAATGCAACAGAATTGCAAAATGAATTGGCTGCATTAAAAACAAAATGCATGGAATATCATCCGCTACTGCCATTCAAGAGAGGCACAATTTTTTCTATTGCACTACTTTTCTTTTTTGGAAGCTCATGCAACAAATTCTGTAGCCATGGTTACCACTACAGTTGTTACCAGATTTAGTCACATAAAATGTGAGAGATGCAACATCCTTCCACTCTGATTTTCTCAAAATCAGACATTACACAAAATGTTCTAACATTGCGAGTAAGACATAAAACCAACACTAATGCATTAGGTTCGAAAAATGCAAAAGAAAAACTTGGTTAGCATACAGCATATATGATGGAGCATGCTAAAATGAGATCAATAAAAAATAAATTTAAAACAATTTGCTAAACAATTTGTGAGTCATTGCTAAACAAAAGGATTTAAGTCCAAAAATTTTATATTGTACATTATGTCTAAGTGTTTGTTCTTGGTTTTAAGAGTCTGCATATTTAGATTTGTTTTCAGTTGCCAGGGTTTGCACTTTTTATCTGTACCACTCTTGTAGCCCCATCACTACTGTTGAAGATTTTCACAATTTTGCCCCTTGGCCACATTGCATGTTTTTTTAACTAACTTTTTCATTACATATTTTTAGTTCTATGAGGACTATGTCTCCCACCTTTAGTTTCTGACATGAAACACTGGTCTTCTGTACCAGTTGGGCAAGATATTCCTTGCGGAAACGCCTTCTAGTTCTTGTCTCAATGTATTGCAGTAATTTGTTTGTACATTCAATTTCTGGGAATTGATATAATCCAAATCTGGTACCCCCACTAGTTTTATGTCTTGCAAAAACAGGGAAGATATCAGAGGTACAAGTTCTTTTGTATCATCACAGATGTACGTTAAAGGATGGCTGTTTAATGTAGATTCAACATCACACAGGACTGTCAGAAACTCCTTGAAATTCATTGACGATCTTCCTAAAATTCACACAAGAAGGATCTGGTGGAATGAACCAAGCACTCCCACCACTATGCCCCATGCAGCCGTAGGAGGAGATGAATTTCCACTTTATTGGAAAACACTAATCTTCTTTGATTTTTCTTAAATCCAGGCATCTCAGAGCATTATCTGTTCCAGTAAAATTGGTTCGGTTATCGGAATACGCTGTTGTAGGAAGGCCACGTGTGGCAATAAACCATCTCAGAGCCTGTAGAAATGTTTAAGCAATAAGTATTTGCCCATAAATATCACTCCCTATGAGGATTTCTATTTCCGGGTGACTCTCATCAATATCTGAAATCCAAATTCTGTATCTTTTATAATACCTTAAATAACAAACCTTTAGGAATACATGGTATTCCTCCACAAATGGTATCTTGATCCAAAAAACTAAACTGGTGCTCCGCCAAATAGCACATGAGTTAAATTCTCAGAGGAGGTGCTTTTCAGATGTAAGGCTGCAACTGTGGATTGTAAAATGTAAGATCATTGGGATCCACATTCCAAGAGGAACCTGACCACCTTTACATTGTCTGTGACTACTTCAGCCATTAAAGTCATAAGAGTGACTTCATTCATACATAGGGGAGAGGACGTGTTTTGTACCATTACTGACTCTTTTCATTTTGCCTTATTCTTAACATTATTCTCTGATACCTCAGGACATAAAATTATAGAGTGAAATAGCTTGCACAGATAGCATTGAATAAACTGTTGACACTGCTTCACAAAATGCCCTACTTCAGACAGTGATGGCAGCATTTTAATTCTCTTACTCTGTCCGATCTTTCCTTTAAGCGCATCAATCGAGCTGTAAAACATTCTTTGCTTTCATGAGATTTTCTGCAAAAAACATAGTTTTGTTCTTTGACAGCAACTAGACTTGCTGCACTCGCAATTGGGTTTTGGTCTTAAAAATTTTCCATCTTTAGACTGCTCATCGTGCGAAGTAGAAGAATTTTCAAATTCAGACCTGGCCAGTTTAACTCTCTGTTCTTCTTCGACCTCTTTAGGCAAAAATTCCAGGAGATTTGCGAGACGTGATCCCTCATTACTGAGCAGAACACTTCTCTGACATACTCAAAGCATCTCACCTGATAGACAAGACTTGACCATGGGATATAACCAGGATGCATTAGTATCTACGGCTAAACTTAAAAACTCTAGTGATCTGAGGTGGGACTCGATTTTTGTCAAACAGTGACACTAGTGGCAACTGATCCTTCCCTTGTAAGCGTACATTTACATTTTGGATAATTAATTTTAAAAATTCCCTCACATATATCTCAGTTAAAACTTCCTTGTTGCCAAAATGCTCCTTAAATGTAGAAATGGCTTTTGGGTAATTTTCAGCCGTTAAAGGGTAATTATTTATCAGCTCACTAGCCATTGGTAACATTGAGCTAAATAATAGAATTTGTCAACGTCATCGAGTTCTTTATCCTCATGGGTCTTAAATTGACCCAAAAATGTAAGATAACTTAATAACTGCCCATCGAATTTTTGACAACTTGTACAGTTTTTCATTAGAAGCGCTTATGCTACTATTTATGTTAGAACTTGCATTGACACCGACAATTAATAAATTAAGCAATTAAGCATGATAAAATTTATGAATATTTCTCAGATTGTTTTGTAGGAGGTGCTCACTTGAAAATTAGGCTACCAGAAGTTCTGGCCTTGATGGGCCCCAAATATTTTCATGGAGATCCACAAAATCAATTGCATGAGCTCTGTCTTGTCTTTCTTTCCAAGTACAGCATAGAAGGGGAGGAGTTTTTGAACAGAATGTGACTGGCAACAAGATTTGGGTGGTGTGTGTGAATGATGGGGCAAACAACAGTCAGTGGCGGGGACCATACCAGTTCTCGGAATGAGTTGAGGAAAGCCCATCCGACCTTTGTCAGGAAGGATGGCCATAGCCAGCATCTTTTAGGATGCTAAGGGAATCTTGCTTGAAGAATTCATGAAACTTGAAATGCCAGTTACTTCTGAAGTTGTAGGCACACTCTGAAGAGACTGAAGTAAGCCATCGAGAAAAAATGCCACAGCCTTTTTGACATCTGGATTTCTATTTTTTGCAAGATAACACTCACTCTCCCACTGCTCAGTGGAGAGAAGACCTTTTCGCTAATTTAAATGGATTTGGAATTCAAAGTTTTATGAAGAAATGATCTGTAAGTATGAAAAATGCTGTGATAAGTGCTTGAATTTAAATGGCCACTATGCTGAAAAAGTAAGCTTCAGATGTAGATAAAAATTTGTTGTATCTACACACATATTTTTTTACTTAAAGCCAAATGAAGGTTACTTTCTGAATTATCTTTGTATATTTTTGCATGCATTTTACCAAATATTTTAATTTTAGCGATCTCTTGTAATTAAAAATGTGCTTAAGTCAACTTCCCTTAAATTAATTTGCAATTAATTTAATCTGTGAATTTGAGATCTCAATTAAAAAAAAAATCTGTTTATTTTTTTTGCAATTTGAGCTTCTGCAAATTTTCAGTTTTAGTCCAAAAAATACTAGAGCAGCTGGTAACATTTTCAATTACCAGTTTTTTGCAGTTTCTCATTGCTATGAAAACTAAAAAATACAGTTTATTATGAAGATTTTATTACAATAAAGGAAAGATTGCTGCATTCTTTTGTAGCTAAAAGCATGAAACAAATCTAATCTACTCTTTTAAACAAAATAATTTTAACTTCTCACCATCCCAGGCGTCAAACATATCATTGACGAAATAGTCTATGAATCCCATTTGAGATTTGGGAATGCTACATTTGGCACGGTCGAATGCTGGCATAACTATTGGAAGACCTTTACTTTTTTCTTCATCGGTCTGAAAAAATAAATTTTATCATATTGACAAAAATTTAATAGTTTTAATAAAAACAATTAAATGATACAAAGACATTCTTCAAAAAGAAAAGTAATAAAACTATTTAATATTTATTTTTCAAAGCTTCTTATTTATATATTTTTAAAAATGATCTGGAAATCCCTCTCCAACAAAATTTTTAACATTTTAGAAGGATTTAATACAAAATACAATTATAAGGTATTTCTCCTGCTTTCCTAGCGTGCCTTCATGGTGTAGTGGTTCTGCATGCTGGGGCCGGTATTCCAGAGGTCTGTGATTTGATTCCCGGTGAAGGTGATAGCTAATTTTTCATCTTTTTGGCTTTTCCAATTAACTTAATGTCTCTACAGTGGCGCCCAAACTAAAAGGGCGATGGATGATGGTTCTCCACACCCAGGATTTGGCGATTGGGCCCCCTAAAAACCCCAGTCGCCCTTTAAAAGGGGGAGTATAAGGTATTTCTCCCACCTTCCTAGAGTGCCTTTGTGGTGTAGTGGTTCTGCATGCTGAGCTGGTATTCCAGAGGTCCGTGGTTCGATTCCCGGTGAAGGTGTTGCTAATTTTTCATTTTGCCTGCTTCCAAAAATATCCTAATGTCTCTACGCAATAATGTCTTCAGGTTACATGGTAATTTGCATCTAGACCAACATCATATATTCAGACCAATATTTCTATAGACACAATATTTAAGTGTAGGAATATTTCCACAAACAAAATATTTAAACAAGAAATGTTATAATAAGCAATTAATTAAAAAAAAAAAACTATATTTATTGACATTGAAATTTTATAATATGTCTAGAACTAAAATTTATGACAATAGCATATTGCTAATACTCACAAATGTATGCACTTTACAACACAACTAAAAAATTACATGAGTTCATTGGAATAACAGAGTTTTTTGAAAACTCGGTTCCTGAGGGCTAATCCCTTCTTCTTTGTTTTCAGAGTTTCTTCTTTCTTTGTTTTCTTTTCCCTTTTTTTAACACCTTTCTAGATATTTGCTACCTGCTCTTAATCCCCCAATAAAAGTTCATGAAGTGGTCTTTTTTCCATTATTTTTTTCTTATTATTTATTTAACTGAAAACTGTAGCAAATATAATTCGTTTATTCCTCTTTTTTTTTTTTTTTTTTTTTTTTAATATAATTTTGTGTTCCTTGATGCGAAATTTTAATGCTCCTTTAGTTTGGACAAACCACATTGACAAGATATGTTATAAATTCCAAAAGCATTAAAATCAAAGATAAAAAATCTAAGAATTTTTAATGGGCTTTACTGACAGGTGAGAAAATGACTAAACAGTTAAACTTCAGGACAATTTGAGCAACATTTAACTGATATAAGTATGAAATGGAATAATGACAAGGTTATTATGGTTATTTTTAATAGCACAATATCTTTTGGGATGGCAAGATGAAAATCCTCTGGCAGTAGCAATTGATTTCAAATAATTAAGTTCATCAGAAAGCAAAGATTCAGAAGAATAAATTTTGAGGCATGATATGATAAAGAGTAACAAGGAGCTTTTTTATTTTTGATTTAGCATGGAGAGGAAAACAAACAAACTGAAAATTATTTATGGTAATGAGTGCTATTGAAATCGGATTCATTGCAGATAATTAAATATCAAGGAAAGGAATAATCAGATTCAATTAAAAAAATGAACTAAAAAATGCAACAATGTATAAGGTATTTCTCCCGCCTTCTTAGCATGCCTTTGTGGTGTATTCGAAAGGTCCATGGTTCGAGTCCCGGTGAGGGCATCACTCATTTTCATCTTTCTTGCTTTAAAAAAATACCTAATGTCTCTACAGTGCCGCCTGAACTAAAAGGTGGTGAATGATGATTCTTCACATTCAGATTATTGATAAACATAGCCCAGTTTGAATAGCAAAACATTTTATTAGTCTTTAAATGAACATGCATTTAAACTACCATAGGAACATTATATATTTTCTACTTATTCAAAAAGTGAAAAAATGTGTAATCTATAAAACTATTTAATGTTTTAATTAGATATATCATGATTTAAATGCATTTTTTAAAAATCAATCAGATTAAAAAGAAAAAAAATCAGATCTGCATATATTGGTTTTTAGTTTAGTTTTGTTAATTAATAATAGACAGATTAAATATGAAAGAATGATATCTTAATGTTTTCCAAATGGCAACAGACTGAAATGAAAAGCCAAACAAATCTGAAGTGAAAAAGTATATTTAAAAAGTGAAAAATAATATAATGTAATTCTGTTAAAAATATTTCATGTTTTTAAATAGATATATCATATATCATAAACTAAATCTACTATTTAACTGAAATCAGATTCAAAAGTAAAACTACTTCTAAGAGCTGAACAGACAGATAAAGTTTGAAAGACAAATATCTTACTACTTTTCCTAAGTAGGAAATATGTTCTAATTTATATATTAGGTTATCCGAAATATCCATTCAGAAAATTCTAAAATGGCCTAGAGAGATGAAAAACTGTGAAATTAAGATCTCATACATATGAGGGATGACACAAAACATCTCAGCAATACTACTAAAAATGTTTAAAAAAATCTGAAAGTTTCCAGATTTTATACTATGCCAAAAAAGGGATTTTTTTAAATGTATTGTGTCCATGACATCATTTACAGAAATAATTGAAATGAAGACACAAAAGAAACAGTTGCTTTTGACTTATGAGTCAGTGGCACCACATGCTGAAAGATTTTTCATTGGGAGAGTAAAATTTGTTGTATGCCTGAAGTTTGGCAAAGAATACCTTGTTTTCATAACACAGCCAATACTCTGCAGCATACCATGTATAACTGAAATTCTCAGATTGGACAAATCAGATCATTAATCAGACAATTAAGAAAACATGTATACATAAAACCACATTTTGCAAATTTGTGTCTGGTATGGGTTTTTACTATATAGCATAATTTTTCAAACAGTCTGACTAGCATTTTCCCCCGCTTTTTAGAATAAAAAACTTAATATGACAAAAATGAGTTTTTGGATTCTTAGCACTGCATTGAAACAAATTTACTACAACATTAGGATTATGCAATATGAACAGAAAAGACTGTATTTAGACATCCGCTTTGATGAAGATCACTCTAAAAAAAAAAAAAAAAAAAAAAAATTTTAGAAAACATGTTTCAATTTGGAAAACCACAGAATTTTTCAGATGACCCAAAATTTACCCAATCTAATGACACAATTTTAAAAGGTTTACTCAAAAATAAATCCCTTGAAATATAATTTAAAAAAAAGATAAAAATGTAGCTGAATACTTATTTTGCATTGCAGTAATTTTGATAAAGAGCATTTTAACTTTCCCCTTCTTTCAGAATTTTCTTGGCTGAATGATATTGTTACTTATTTTGTTTCTTAGCATATCACAGACCAGCATAGTGAATATAAGTCTAAATTGAAACCCCTCAAAGAGACAGCAAATTATTTTACAAAACACAATAATGCAATAGAAATGACAACATATTAAAAATATACATAAATTTGAATAAAGATCTGATAGCATTTCTCCAAATTAAATTGCTACAAAGTATAAATTCTCATGAGTTTACAAAAGTACGTCAAATTATATACAATAACTATCTCATGAAATAGATAACTAGATAATAAGGAAGCATATTACATTGTATACAAAATTAAATATATTTCATACAGAGATTAGTCACACTTAAAAAAAATATCATACTTCATATAGAGATTGTTAATGCACAAAAAAATAACGCAAAAAATAGATCGATGTTAACAATTTAACAGCAAGGTATGCTAAATGACACCTAAAACAAATCTTGCATTATTTATGAGAAATGCCAGTTCACATTTTATATAAATAAAAACATTAAAAAAATATTTATCTTTGTTTTGAATTATTTTAGCTACTAAATTAAGCAAGATATTTATTCAAATTTAGAATAACCACATTTTTGTACTGTCAGTTTTAATACATCATAATGTTGCCATTTTACATAAATTCCTGTTGGTATTCCCTGTAGATAGCTGGCAAAAAGGTTTATTTAGGCCACCAAATGATGTGCTGAATCATTAATCTCTTAATTTGTATGATCAGTGTAATGAAAAAGTACATTACCTGAGCTACGTACTCCTCAGCAATTCTGTAAGCCCATTCTTTACAAGAGTTTAGAGGTTTGGTAGGATTAGAAACATCAGCACATTTGATAAGAATTCTTTTTACAAGAATAATATTTTCAGGAGTTGACATAGCAGCCAAATCTGCAGATGATGGTTCAAGCTAGAATTAAGAAAGGTAATGTTAAGGACTTATTATGAAGGAGAAACATACATAAATTTTCACAAATGAACATTCAACATACCATACAAAATTATTTAAAATTTTGGAAACCACAATTTTCTGTTTTAGCAGCATTTCAGTAAAGATATTTTTTGTATAAGATTTGATTTTTTTTTTTTTTTTTTTTTTTTTTTTCCCACTGTATTTGCTAGATAGCTACAGATCTTGATGAGTTTCTCTTTTGTTTTTGATTCCTCCATCTTAGATAACATTTGTTAAGGGAAATGCAACTTCTCTTAAACCAATGTTCTTTCTCTCTCTCTCTCTCTCTTTTTTTTTTTTAAAATATTTAAAGTTCAATTTTATTTATATATGATTTATCACTTCATTTCTCCCTCCCCCAAACAAACAAACAAACAAACAAAAAAAAAATTAAAATACATTTTCATATTACAGTTAGACCTGGAAATATATACATTTTTTGAAGAAAATTAAGGCTTTTTATTTTGCCTCAGAAAATCTCCTATTTTGATATTCTTCAGCTGTGTAAAAGATAACTAAATTAAATGGTTAATGGCATGTTCCGAAATGTAACAGAAGTTTAACCTTCTAAAAGAATATTGATTTTTCAAATTGTGTAATGAAAGATATACTCACTTTTTTTTTTTTTTTTTTTTTTTTTTTTAAATTCTGGATAAAAAGTTCTCATTTACAAAGATTCTAATTCCAAGACATCATTATTCCATGATACAAATAGTATGTATTTTTATGAAGTTTAACTAGTTAAGTAACTTTTAAAGATATGAATAAAAATTGTTTTTACAAGATAAAAATTGCTTTAAAGATAAAGATCTTTTGAATCAAGTAGAAAATGGTAACCAAAGCCAAAGACAAAAAACCAAAGACATGGTAATCGCTAGGCAAGAGGTCAGAGCTATAGGGTGGATGTTCCAGAGTCTCCAGTGTAATTGCCATTAACATTGTTTAGCACACAACAGCCACATGAGGACAAGCATTCTCATGCAAGAGAATAACCCAATATGGCAGCATGCCACATTGCTGTTTCTTGATTTTTTTTTCCAGTTTATATGATGTGGCACAGTAACTGGTAGCATAAACAATCGAATCAGCCATTCCAACAGCACTGGGCCATCGACACCGAAGAAGCATGTATGCATGAATTTTTCAGCCCTCACGGATGAATGAACCTTCTTTGGCTGTAGGGATGAAGAATGTCACTATTCCATGCTTACACGTTTGGTGGCCAGAAAAAGTGATGACACCTTGTTTTATCATCAGCAATAATCGAAGAAAGGAAATGGTTGCCCATTTGGTAGTAACACATAAGAATTTTCACGGAAACACCCATGCAGTAACTCTTCTGCTCCTCTGTCAAATGTCCCACTGTGTGCAAACCTTTTGAACCTTTGCTCATAGACATTCCATCCACTATCTCGGAAGTGGTGCTTCGCTGATTATTTCTCACGAGACTGTCCATAGTTGCAATTACTTCCTGGGTGATAGATAACCAGATGCGCTTGATCTGGTCATGTTGTCGTCCATACTGTTTCATCCTTTATGAAAACTGTTATGCTATGTGAATATTGATCTACATGGCATACACTCCATGCCAAACACATTTTGCATGTTATGATAAATTTCTTGGCACTCACATTTTCAGCTGTTAAAAATTGCACGACTGTACACTGACAACATTTGAAGGCCTCCATAATATAAACAATACCATTGACCTTGCTCCTACGCTATCACAGAAGCATCTGTCGTAATCTGATGATATGGCATGCACTCTCAGCACTCAGTGCCGTTTATAGGGCATGTATGCTCTTCTGTAAATGATGCCACAATCATGGAAGTGCACTTCATTTGAGCGACCTCTACATGATATATTTTTTAGTTTACACTTTTTTGTTTACATTTAATTTCTAAATTTTCTCAGTGGCCTAAGTTATTATTTATACTAATTAATTATACAATCTTAGCCGCTTTAATGCTGAATTTCAGTTTTAAAAACTGTTTTGTTTGAAATAAACACACCCACCCACACATATATATAAAAGTTCAGAAATTTCAAATTAAATTAATAAATTATTAAAGTTCTGCAGTGTGCTGTGAATTAGTTAATCAAGATAAATTAATTAAATCAATTAAACCAAGAAAGAGGTCAACTGTCTAAGCAAAAGTATACATACCAAAACTGGAATAAAAACAATTCAGTAAAATAACACGATAAAATTAGTATAATTAACACAGCATAATAAAACTAATATAAAAAGTGTTGTTGAAATTTTTTTGGTCTTTTTCAAGGAGCAGCCAAAAGATTTTCAACAAAGCCATAATTCTGAATTATTTTGGATGATAGTGAATTCTTAACATAACAATTAAAAGAAAATTGTAAAAAAAGAAAAAAATAATAAATTTTTAAATTACTTTAAAAGAGCAAAAAAGTGATAATTTTTTAAAAACTTCTTAGAAGTTTTAATTGATAACTAGGATATAATCTGTTCTGATGTGAGCCCAAAATAAAAATTAAAAATCATTGTAAAAATAAATATTATAAAGAGATTTTTAAAAAGAGTTCTCAAGTAGAACCAGGTTAAAAATTGACTAAATATAAAGCATTGTGGTAAATAAATATTAATTAAATTTCAAGCCAAAGAAAAAGCAAAACTGTTAAAAAACTTTGCTAATCAAAAGCAAAAATATTTTAAGCCATATTCTGAGGAAATGAGTTTTCTAAAGAAATTAAATAATATACGAATTTAATAATTAATCAGTAATATTTAAATACTGTGGAAAAGTGGGAAAACTGTATAAAAATTAAAGGCTTATAGCCTAAAATGGAAAAAGGAATAATAATTGAAATAAAAATTAAAAGGCAATAGGACTAAAATTGGACAAATAAATAAAATTGGATTAATGGATATATTTTTTAATTTTTTACTAAAAGAATTAAAATTTGATAAATTTTACATGAGATAAGCACTCACTCAGTACCTTCTTTTAAACTTAAAACTAATTTATTTTAAAATTAATTAAAGTCTTAAAAAGTTATTTTAGATTTGATCCTAACATACTCCCCCTCTTTATTTTCTACTTTACAGACAGCATGTGTTTTATAAATATTTTGTCACCATTCAAAATTTTAGTCCTTTACAAAAATGTTTTTGTAATTCAATAAAAACATTCCAAATAAGGTTTTTATAGTATATTAATAATAATAAAAGACAAAAAAATTCAAAACATCTTCTAAGCAAAAACAATGAAAAATAAAATTAAATAAAAAAATAAATAAAAAACTTAAGAAAACCACATTTAAATTTCCAAATTCAACAGCTCTTCAAATGCAGACACATACTCAGAAGTACATTTCTAATATCTATCATGATATTTGGACTGAAATTTTGAATTTTCTTATTTTTAATCTTATTTAAAGTTGATTTTTTATGGGAAAATTAGAAAATTATGAAAACATAAAATGATTACAAAAACTTTTAATAAACACTCAGTATGAATTATTTCAGGGAGGAAAATGTTTCCTTCCCTCTTTCAGAATTATTTCAGAGTTATTAATGCTGCTTCACAAACAGTTTTACACCTTACATGAATAAGTTAATTATGTAAGTAATGTTATTTAATTAATATAATATTAACCATTATCAAAGCTTTTAATTATTTTAAAATAAATTCATAAGATTGAAATTACGTATTACACAAGAAAAATAAATTTAAATTATCTGGTGCTGCTGTACTGCTTACAGATGTTTCTAATTCATCTTCTTCAGCTTCCACTGACTTGGTAAACACATTGACAAACTTAGACAAATGTTCAAAATGTTTAGTCATCTCAGTGGCCAATACCATATCGATGATAGATCGCCTCACTTCCTTGTAGGCATCTTTGCTTAAATTTTGGAAGATGTTAACTTTTTCACTGGACATAGCTAACTTGAAGGAATGTGCTGAATGGTGACTTTCAAGAACAGACCTACATGTATACAAATCAAACATTATTATTTTTAAAAAGTGCAACTATAACTGACTTTTAATTTAAAAAATCAATAGTTCTTGATAAAACACTTTTACAATGTTGGGCCCCAGACAGGTTATAATTTATCATAATCCTAGACAAATAAATTCACCCCTAAAAAAATGATGGTTTTCAGTTAACAGCTCATTGGTTTTAGTGCAATAATATTTAGTAGTGATTTTTAAGCACTCCTGTTGATTTAAAAATTTAAAATAATTCACAATACTTTCTGCAAATAATGAACTAAAAATACTGTTTTTTAATTAAATACCATTTTAATTAAATGCATATTAAAAAAAATAGATACAAATTTAAATAAACATCAAACATAAAATAAAAAAGTATTAGAACTAAATTGCGCAAATAAATAAAATTGTATTAATGATATATTTTTAATTTTTTACCAAAAAAATTAAAATTTGATAAATTTTACATCAGATAAGCACTCACTCAGTATCTTATTTTAAGCTTAAAACTAATTTATTTTAAAATTTTAAAAAGTTATTTTAGATTCAATCCTAACTCACTTTTTTTGTTTTTCATTTTTTCCATTATAAACATAAATGACTGTTACTGTAATTTTAGGTAGATAAGCCACTCTGGCCAGAAAATATGCTGCATACAAGAAAATGAAATGACTAAAAAAAATTTAAGTTTCTCAGATAAACCACAGCAAAGCATTCCGAAACATACTTAATACTCATTTATTCAGCAATTCCCTTCCATACTGACATAATCATAATTGATGATATTTAATAACATTTACAACATAATGATAAACAGTAATATATAAATAAATAAAAATAAACAAACATCTTACCTTGAAGTTGCCAATAAAAACGAACTCTGCTGATTACTAATAGATTTTATTTTTACGAATTCAGTGAAAATCACCATATCACCATAAATTACCATATTATGAAAAAGGCTATGCAAATTAGATAATGAAAGAGAATTTTATAATTAAAATAAACTACATTTTTTTCTATATAAAACCTTCAAAATCTGACTCATCAGTGTCAGAATTAAATAAACTTAATGACTATAAAGGTAACTTTCATCACTCTGTTCCAAATCACTTCTTTCAGCATCACTATCTTCCATTTTCATCTTCTTTGATGATATCCCATTTAATGAAAGTTAATATAGTTGGACTGATTGCCATGCTTTATTGACCCAAAAGGCAACTTCCTCAAATGAGCTTTTCTCATCCGTCCAGAATTTGTCAAGAAATGGAGCCCACTTTGCATCCATTTTTCCCACTGTTTTCTTATTTCAAGCTTGAAAATTCTATTGAGATCCAGTAGCTGTAAAAATTTTTGTAAACCCACCTGTTATCACTGAGACATCACTGCTAAGTCTTTTTACTTTGGATTTTACTGTATACACTAAACAGGATTGCACTGTATTCAGAACAATGAGTCCTTGAGGTTGGAGAAAAAAAAAAAAAAAAAAAGCACCTTTTCGATAAATTTCTCTCAGCCAGAACAATATCACTTCTTTGACATTCATCCTTTTTTGGTGCAAATAATGACCCCTTTAGGTTTAGGAGGTTTCTTTTTGGAACTGTTTTTCTTTTAAAAATTATAAAAGGGATTAACTGCTCTCCATTAATGGCACAACCCAAAACATGTGTATAAGAAATTTTTTCATTTCCTGTTATTAACACAGAAACAGTTTTATCATCTGTTGAATGAACAGTTGTGCTGAGACAGTCATAGGAAATGGACTCTTCATCCATATTAATTATTTGACCTTCTATTCAAATTTTCTTAGATTTATATTCCAAAAAAGTTATTTTTTCAAGCCAGTCCAACAGGAAGCTTTTGTCCAAGTGTTGTTTTGGTCCTGACAGAGAACTCTTTTTGTTTCATGAACCTGGAACACCAGTTAAGTTCTTTCATCAAAGTTTTTAATGTCTATTTTTTAAGCAATTACTTTTGCTTGAAGGCAGATTCTAACTATTAACACTGATCTTCCCTTCTCCCTTTGCTCTACTGTCCCCCTAAATATTCTTTCAGAAGAGGCCAAGCTATGACGCCAGTCAAGCCCGTTCCTAGCAGGGGTGCAGCACGTAAAAAAAGTATGCAGGTGGCCGGACTCTCGCGTTACCACACCTAAATATTTAAAATTCTTTAAATTTATTGTAAGCAGTTGTCATATGTAAGTACTTTTTATACAATTTGTCTTATGTAAATATTGAGTATGAAATAAAAATTTTGTTATTCATTGAACATTTTTTAAAAAAAATTTGGGGGCAGCAATCTTAGTGGGCAACCAATGGTCTAGAAACGGCCCTGATGCCAGTCCAACAAAATTCTTTTATTTATTAATTTTTCTTGTCCATCAAGAAATGTATCTCTTGTTAACTTGAAGTTCTTTAGTCACAGCCCAATTTCCAATTTATGTCGTTGTTTTTGTTGCTGAAAGGTTTAAAGCAATTATATAACTTTTTCTTTGAGTAGGAGCCATAATAATAACAATACTTAAAAAAAAATTCAACAAGTGCAAACAATAAATCAAGAACTGGAATAAGTACATAAGCCACAAAGCAGTGAAACACATTCAAGAATGAACACAGAATTTGGCAAAATAAAAATTTCTGTGGTCATTAAAACGCTTTTGCGCCGCGTAGCAGTCAAACGGTTAAACACGTAAAAGCAGTGGCTTATCTACCCGAAATTATGGCATTTAAAAACATGAAAAATTATAAAATAAAAATGCAACAGACCCTCTTAATGTATTGCTGGTTTAAGAAATAATTTGCTCGATGGTCATTGAAACGAAAAATGTTCAGTGCTCGAAGGTCACGGCACATGGATAAACCTTGTTTTCTTGATGTCGGAAACACAGGGGTTAAGCATCTAATTTCTGTTTGACATCACAATTAAATTTTATCTCAATTTCCCAGCTGTCAAATTTCACATGATCGTTGGAAAATGCAGACAAAACCATGGAGTTCAGCAGAGTGTACATGCATTACAGTGTCTTTACACTGAGTGCATGTTACCAAAGTTTGGCAAGTTTTTCACACTGGCTTGAACTTGTTGCACTGCCTTAGTGCAAATTGAGTGCTTGTATCAGACTAAAGTGTTACAGCGAATTCCACATTAACTGTTTCACTTGTGCATAACTTATGATCTAAACTAGTAAAGACAGAGGAAAAATAAAATTTCTTCAGATAACCTCCCTGTCACATATGCCACACACCTAAATTTTCAACTTTTAACTGTTTGACTGCTATGTGGCACAAAAGCACTGCATTCATTTGTCTCAAAAACCACGATGCTGCGGGTTTTTGCTGAGAGTTTCGGTGTGTCTTTGTTGCTCCATGGAAGTGAATATACGTAGTCTGACCTCACGCATACTTTGTAACACGAGTACATTCTAAAACAACTAACCGTGTTGCGGTTTTCAAGACAAATGAACACAGCGCTTTTGCGCCACGTAGCAGTCAAACGGTTAAACATGTAAAAGCCGTGGCTTATCTACCCGAAATTATGGCATTTAAAAACATGCAAAATTATAAAATAAAAATGCAACAGACCCTCTTAATGTATAGCTGGTTTAAGAAATAATTTGCTCAATAATGTTCCAAACAACAATAATTTATTTCTTTGAAAAATATTTCCCACTAGCATACTTGCATATCCTCAAAACTTTGATAAAGGTAAGAGGTAAATTTTAAGAAGAAAGTGCTTTACTTTACCAAGTATCTTAAAAGAGAAAATTTTCCTAAATTTCACTCTCTTTCCATTAAAATGGGTTTAACTGTACTTGTAAAATAAACAAAAGATTAAGAATGTCAATATTTAAAAAAAGTGCAAAAAATTTTCCTTTTTTTTAACAGCCAGAAGAACAATGTTTCAAACAGCAATCTATCAATTTTTTCTTCCACCATCAAAAGAACCAGTCTGAATCAAAGGAAACAGGTAGAATACATAGATGGAGGGCGGGGCTTATATTATTAAAATAGACACTCCTAAAAAATTGCAAAATCCTTTTTAGAAACATTTTTACAACAACCATTAGCATTACATATGCACCTTGCTGCCCTACTGGCATGGTGGTAGGAAAGCCAACTAGCATTGGGCCCAGAGACTGAACCTTAGGGAAAGCATGAATGTTTGCAAATGTATAGTGTCCTTGTGATATGGCAGGGGACCCTTCAAATACTGTCAAACCAAAAATCCTCTCATAAAGTTGGTGATAAGGAAACAGAAATAGGAAATTCTGTGATCAGATGGGAGGTTCTCCTTCAAAATTGGAATGAACCCATGCAAAAGTTGTATTATCACCTTAAGGTACCCAAGGTATGGCCAATGACAGGCATACACAACCTCTTAGCCATGATGACCTGGACCTAACCATTGACTTGATCAAGAGATCCTAACAGATTAGCAGGATTAGAAATAATAACAAAATGTTATCTTTAAGCTCTTTGCTCCCACCATATCATATATGATGATTCAGTTTCCCTCCACAAGCTCATTGTATTAAATGTGATACAGAAGAAGTGTTACTGTTGGCCCATCTTATCATATTTGATATACTAATGAGGAATAATTTATTTTAAATTTATAAAATAAATTATGCCAGAATGCAGCAAAAATTCATTTAACAGGATCTGTCAAGTGTTAACCTTAAAGCTACAAATATTATTCATCAATTTATTTTATGAATATAAAACGCACGATGCTTACAACACACGCTCGGAATTTAATGATGTTTCACAGAGGGCAAGTAGCTTAAAATTTTGTATGTAAATAAGGCAATAGGATATAACAGGCACTGATATTTACTTCATTAAGGTTTCTACTTCATTATTACTAATATTGCACACTAAATTATTTTGAATTTTTATTTATTTGCATGCACTAGAATTTTGGTTTACACTATTAAGAAATTACATTTAAATAATATTAAATCCAGTTATTTCGATAAAAAGCATATTTCATCGGAATTATTTCTGCATTTTAAGCGTAATTACAAAACACACATACAATGATGTTCAGTGCTCGGAGGTCACGGCACATGGATAAACTTTGTTTTCTTGATGTCGGGAGCACAGGGGGTTAAGCATCTAATTTCTGTTTGACATCACAATTAAATTTTATCTCAATTTTCCAGCTGTCAAATTTTTTTCAAGGCCTCACACATAAAATTACATTTTATTAATATTATTTCCTGATTACATTATATATATATATATATACATATAAATCTGGTTTTAACTGATGATATTTAAAATAACTGATAACTTTACAAAATAAAGAACAACAATTCTTGATATTAAACTTTTAAGATCAATTTGTGCATTTCCTCAAATACTTACAAATCATTATATAAAATAGCTAATTCATTTCCAGTATTACATAAAAATGCACTATTCCTTCCAGGATGATCAACATCATGAACAACGGCAGCAATGAGGGATATTACTTCATCCATGGGGTCAAAGATGGCCTAAAACAAAAACATCAAAAAATTCAGTACAATAAGTACAAAAATATATCACAATACAATTAATTAAATATCTAATCCTCAACACATGTACATAAAATGAAGTATGCATTATTGTGTCTCAAGAAATATGTACATAAAATGAAGTGTGCATTTTTACGAATTTAAGATTAATAAACTATTCACATTTTTCAGTTAGACATTAAACCTTTGGCAGCTACAACCAACAGATAGCTGACAATCACGCTGCTCATAGGTAGGAGCTTGAAAACAAGACCACACATAAGTTTGATCTCTGACAAAATTATTGGAGTTTCGATGAAAAGTGCATATCAAACTCATCTGATCTTGCACCTAAAGACTTTCATGCATTTCGCTCTCTTCAAAATTTCTTTAGTTGTATAACATTCAATTGAGACAAAGCCATAAATCAGCACATTGTTCAGATTTTTGCTGATAAGCTAGGTTCTTTCATGAATGAGAAATTTTGAAGCTGATTAAAAGAAAGTAAAAAGTTCTCCTACAAAATGGCCAATATATTATTGACTGCATATTGTTCTTTATATAAATAAAGGACCTTTGAAGAACATAGAAAAAATGCATCACCAACTTTTCAGAAAATTCAATAGCTTGTCTCCAGACATCTGAAACCTAGTTGCAGGAAAAAGATGCTAGGTGTTGGGAAAGAAACAATAGGAGTCCATCTTGTTACCAAAATTTCCTAATGTTTGTTCTATTTTTTTAAAAAACTACAGTATTAGAAGATTTTATGAAATTACTCACTTCACATTATTAATTATAAAAATGGCTATTTTTTCTTGTAGCTTGCACTATCTAAGATGACAACTATTTTGTTCATTGAGGCACTGAGTTCGACATGCCTGCTCTACATCAGTTTTAGGAAAATTGATGTAAAGTACCAATGCAAAAAATTTACTTAAAATAATAAGGCACTATATTCTCATTTCTTTTCATACATTACAATTCTTATGTTTGTTACTTGCTTATTTACAATGATAACTATATGAATCAGCTATGATGAGATATAGCAACATATCCAAGTTTGAACTCACATCTGAAATGTTATGGAAAAACAAAATCTTCACACTTCTATAAAAAAACTTTAGCTAAAATGAAAAGTTTTCAAAGATTCATGAATGGCATTTACCATAACAGAGAGAAAAAAAGAACATGAATTGTATACAAAGAATATGCTCAATAGCTTCAGCAGTGGAACACATTTGATAACTTTTATTTTGAAAAAGGGAAAAGGGCTATAAATTTTCATGATATTAAACATATAAGAGATTTTTCAGTGTTGGCTGAAAAAAAATTAATCAGTTTTGGAGGGTTCATCAAGAAACAGTATCTTATGATAGGGCTTTTGAATAAACTTTATTTGAATATTATTTCTGGATTTATCTGATAGTACAAAAACTGAAATTCTGCAATATTTAGCTCAATTGTTAAAGTGAGGATGTATGTGAAAAGGTAATAAAAATTACTTCAAGTAATAAACAAATTTAAATTATAAAATCATGATGTGGTGTACACATTCTTGATTCTGGAGAAATCAGCCTTTCTATTTCTATGATACTAACACAGTTGAATTTATTAATTCAGAAGTCAAACAACAAAATAAACAAATCTAAATTATAAAATTATGATGTGGTATACACATTCTTGATTCTGGAGAAATCAGTCTTTCTATTTCTATGATACTAACACAGTTGAATTTTAGTGTTATATACAACAGACGAAGAGAAAAGAAAAATAAAAGTTTTTCTTATGTTTCAAATTATTCTTTTTCCCTCCTTTTAAATACTTCTTTTCAATAACCCCCCCAAAAAAAAGAAATTTTGTTTGCTGCAGTACACAGGAAAATTTATGCCAGCTCGAAGTTATTAACTGTATCATCATAAAGCTCAAAGTTTTCATTCAGCTAATTAATCAGATACTGCTATTCTATATATATGTGTGTGTGTGTTTAATAAAATGATCTGAAGTAAGCTGCAACAGAGTGACGATGGTTCTCTGCATTAAATCCTGGGGAGACTTTACTGCGTAGTTAGAAAAGATGACACCCGAAGGAAAGACTTGTAGACAAACATGGCCAAATTGAATATCACTTTCATTAGTGGATACGAACTAATTATCAAAAATATATTTTTCATCACACATGATCACGGGCACAATTTTATATAGAGTATCACATTTTAGATAATGGTATAGTTAGTAGCACAGCAAAGCAAATGGAGTAAAATAGCAACTTGACTGCAGAACAGCTGAAGTTAAGAGTGCACAATTATCCAATATGGAGGCTGACTGAGAGAAAGTTTTCGTTTAGGTTAGAAAGGTTTCAGTTCTCAAAATTATGAGTTTAGGTTCCGAGTTAGCTACGTCATCAGCGTTATGTAAGCCATGCAAGATGGATTGATCTAGAAATGACAAAGTCCAGAAAAGTTACGATTTTTAGAAATGAAAATTTACAGGATTAATTTTGATTTACATATTTTTTATTTTACACAGAATTTTCAACTTATATGATAGTTTCATTATAAAATTAAATATGACATTAGTTCCAAGATATAAAAAAATTATCAGAAAGTACTATAGAAGTATTGAGAGATGTTATAGATTAGAATGAGGTTTTCAAATATCAAACACTTAAAAAACTTTCCATAATTAAACATATTGATAAAATAAAGGATTGTAAGATTATATTGAAAATGGACTTGCTTGAAGAAGTCATAAATGTTGCAGTTTTAAAGTACTTAGCTAAAACTTGTTCAAAAATTTAATTTTTATTTTTAATGAAGAGTTTTTGGGGCACTCTTTTTACTTCCTTGTATGAAGTGAAGGAAGTACTGTAATTGTGAAAAATTTCGGGTATTCCACATTTCAACGAAAATATCCATTTTTACCATTTTTGAAGCCATTTAGATGATTTTCTTGTGTGACATCTGGACATATGAACAGAAGAGATATCTTTTCCAGAATGGATTTAAAATGAATTCATATGGGATTGTGTCATGACGTCTGTACATACGTATGTATGTATCTTGCATAACTCAAAAAGGATTAGCTGTAGAATGTTGAAATTTTGTATCTGGACTGCTATAACATCTAGTTTTACACCTCCCTTATTTTGGTTGCACCAAACTTATATATATGTATATGTATACATGCACACACAGACACATATATACTATGCTATTCAAAAAGTATCAAACCTTTGGCTGGCAAAAATACATTTATTGATTTAGAAATCTAAAACAGTTATTCCCTTCAAAGTATTCTCCTTGGTATGGATACACTTCTTTCAGTGCTCCATTGTTGAAAACACCTGTTGAATGCCGGGTTTGGAATGGTGAGCAGTCGTTCTGTCATATTCTTCATGATGTTTCTTGTCTCAAATCAGGCCCCTTTTAGCGGTATATTTAGTTCGGGAAACAGCCAAAAACCACATGGAGCTATGTTGGGTGAGTTGGGAGTCTGACAAACCACAGGAATTTTGTGTTCAGCAAAGGAAAGCCTGAATCAAATGTGCAGTATGGGTAGGTGCATATGATGGAGCTGCAAAGTTTTTGCTGCCCACAGATCCTGTCATTTGCGATGCACGCATCATAAAGGTAACAAAGGATCTCCTGGTAGTAATCCTTTGTGATGGTTCAGCCCTGCGGGGTGTACTCATGATATATGGGAGTCAAAGAAGACGGTAAACAGGACTTTGCTGTGGACCTGCCGAGCTTGTTTTTGGTCTCTGGGATGTTGCTACTTTGATGACTGTATTTTGGTTTCTGTGTCGTACCCATACACCCATGTTTCATCGCCTGTGACATGGTGTTCAGGAAACTGGGGTTACTGTTGGCATTGTCCAGATGCCATTGCTTCTGCATCACTGTTAGCAGTTTTGTTACAAATTCTGCACAAACTCTTCTCATGCCCAAATCCTCATGGCAAAATTGAACGTACAGATCCGATGCTTACCTTTGTCTTGTTCACAATTTCACAGTCTATGATAAGATGATTCTGCAAGACTAGAGGCAGCACTTGCTCAATGACAGTGCCAATCTGGCTTGTTGAGGGCCTGCCTGAATGTGGTTCACTGTCCACTGATATGCAGACATCTTCGAAGCAGTTGTACCACTCCTTTAATGCGAGAGATGTTCAAGGCTTTGTCTCCGAACGCCTGTTGAATCTTGTGAATGGTTTCTGCTTGGTTATCGCCAAGCTTTTGGCAAAATTTGATGCACTATCACTGCTCAAGTTTTTCAGTCATTTTCTAACCATTCCACAAACACTGAAATCCCATGAACACTTACTACCCGTATTCACTCACTGGCCGACTGCCAGCAACTGACACTTTCTGCAGTGGGAACAAATTCACAAATACACATGCATGTCCCTTCTACACCTTACACTGAAGAAAATCTGCGCTTCATTGGTTTATGTTGGGAAAATTTAAAAAATAGGTACAATACTTTTTGAACAGCATAGTATATATACTACCAAAGGGCTCAGGTTTGAATCCTGGAGAAGGGATAGATGTAAAATTGTGTCCCTTCATTGGCATTTCTTGACATAAAATAAAACAAGTGCTATTGCACTGCTTGGGTCTTTTCATACTCATTTAGAGAAAGCACGATTGTGCTGTTTGGGATTCTTCATCAGTGTTTTTTCAATATGCCCTGGGACTCAAACAGTTAAGGAAAATCAATTTTTCCTCATCATATTCCTTGAAAATTTGAAAGCAATCAAAATTTCCTTATTAGACACATTATTAGAAAAAGTTGATTTTTTGCCATTTCCTTGAAGGTATCCTCATTTCGGGGCCATCTTTTTTTTAAAAAACATTTAAAAATGTTCTGGACATTTTGATGATTTATGTTAGAAAATATGAAATCCTAACAATGATTTGATCCCTCCATGTGAAGTTTGAGATGGTAAATGGATGGGAAAATTATCAAAATTGTTAATTTGGACACATTTTATTGCTTCAT